AACATAAATAAGAAGAACTGGAAATGTTGATATATTCCAGGTTTTCTTCATTATTTTTCTGGGCAAATGTGTGGTTTGGGAACATTTAACGGAATTTGTTTTGTCCTATAATTGGTTAAAGCCTTTTTTGTGGCCAGTACGAAGTAAATATGCGAGTGTTTTCCCATGTGATTTTAATATACTGTACAGAATTTTCATGTTTTTTTTTTTTTTTGGTTGGCACAAAAGAACCAGTGTGATTGTTTCCAGAAATGTCAATTTCATGTGCGATCAGGCTGAGAAGCCTTTTAAAACGTGCTGATTTGCATAACTAGAAAAAGTAATGACTGTGAGTTGATGATTTTTTTCTTTTCAAACACACCTTCTCACTGTCCTGTCTATTATCTCACATCAGCTGAACACCCAAGTACGAGGAACATTTAAACATAGAAGTCCGTTAGAACTTTTTACAATCTGCTGTTCAACATCTGGCTGCGTCCTTGATGTCCGTTTTAAGATGATGCATGGTCCCTGCATACCATAGATTACTGTACATGTTTGACAGCATTTTAGTGTACCGCTATGTTCCCAGTAGTGCTATAAATGCTAGTTGTAAAATAACTCTACTAATCTAAAACAGTTCTACGCCAGAGTGTTATGTAATGCCCTGGGGGTGTCATGAGTTCAGATACTTGATGTACCTAATTATTGTATTACTGCTGCAGCTTCAGTTTTTTTTTTAATACAAAAACCAAATGACACTTGCTGGAATGTAAAATTCTACACATAAACTATGTCATGAAACCCATCTTTCAAAGCAGTGTCACATCTTGCACTGACACACGTTTGGTCCTTTTCACATCCTTACTGTGATAACACTGACACGGCATTAGGCAAGAATTCAGTCAATTAAGTAAACTAGCTTTTAAGCCTACAATCCATTTTTTGTTTTAATCAAAAGTCAACAATGTAGGTGATTATCTGCTTTGATGATAGTCTGAGTTAAGATTTTTAGAGTCTGGGGTTTGGACCTCAGTAAACATTGTCTGAGGTTAATTTCCTGCTGGGACCATCCAACCCACATCAGTATACTTTCCTGTGATACTAGTAGGAGTTTTGGCTTTAAATGTCATGCCACCCTTAGTGAAATCTAACCAACAGGCTATGCAGTAACTCACCCATGGATCTCTTTTTCCCTTTCAACAAACTCACCTCTTCTTTAAAGCAACCAGTCTATTGGACTTGTTTGTAAATGTTTTTTTTAAATATATATGCAACCCATGTGAGTTTTCCCCTGTTAAAAATCCTGTTTGAATCTTGACGGAAGATAATTTCTACTCCTGAAGTTTCTGTCCTGCTGATTTGTTAACACTATTCAAGGTGGATGCTCGCAACCGAATGTTTTAGGCCGGATTATGCACCAAAATGAGTGTACCATGCATGTTTTGTTGGTATAATCTGTGTGACTAAACATGTATGCACTGTGGCACAGTAACACATGCTGTAAGAAGCTCTGTCAACACACCTACATCTATTTTGGATTTACATCTAAACTGTGAATCTCTGTTGGATGAATGACCCGGGTTCACTTTTATCTTGAACAGTGTTTGTTTACGATATAAATCAAACTGTAAACATCCTGTCAAACCTCATGTTGCATACTATAAACCGTGACATAATGTTCCTCGTGACCTTCTGACTTTAGGCTTGTGTGATAGTTTGCACTCCCTTTGCTTAACCTTTTCTCAAAGGGCCTAATCCGGTTAACATCCTGTTGCGTGAATACATCCCACCTTTAAAACTGTCTTCTGGAATGCTTGACTAGCAGGACAGACATTTTCAACCTTGTGTATTTGATTGTACAGAGATTTTGTAAATAATATTAATATGATATATTCTACACCAGCAATCTTTCTGTTGATTAAGTTGTTTCAACAGTTCTTGGCTTCCCAAACATGACCCGGCACTTCTTTTGCAAATCCCAACGTAGACAGAAGATGCACCGTGACAAACCACTTTGAATGACGAATAGCGTTAAATAACATACGTGTAGATGTTTATTATTGGTTGTATAGAAGTGTTGTCATCCTTTGTACATGTGGTAACCCACCAATCAGATAGATAGTATTTCTGTACATGTATTGTAACTTTATTAACATTTTCTTGGTTTTATTCAAGTTCAGACTTTGATTAAAGATAATCATGCTTAAATGTCATTGTTACTTCGATTGGGAATTGTAGGGAAAATGTGGTATTTTGAAAAAGTGTTAAACAGTCCGGATGCCTTTTTCTGCTGGATTCTCTGTGATGTGGATCTGGGTATGAACATTTTGGGAAGCCTAGTGCTGGTTATTGCGTCAATTCTGCTGCTGCTTTTAACTCCGGTTTGGAAAAAATAAAGGGTTAAAATGGAAAAAAAAGACAAATAAAAAATAATGGCTCCCTGCCTTGTGCAATGCGTATGTACTGAAGTGAAGTGATTCTTTTCCACAAAGGAATTAAACTAAAACTGGATGAGCAATATGTGTTCTGGATGTTTCTTTACTCACTTTACTCTGTTTTTGAAAAGAAATACACAAAGAGGGATGGGATAAAACAAAGGGAAAAAACAAAGACTGACTGAACAAGAAAACATTTAACATTGTTTGTTTTTTTTAAGTTTGTTGTAACTTAAAATCAGGGAAGGAAGTGACTGTTGTAGCCTACCTACATTTAACATAATAATTTGCATTACAATCTAAAGGTGTTGAGAGTGAACAGCTTCAAATTATTTTCACTGTAGGCTATTTGCAGAAATATCAAATCAAAACGGCACATTCACTTGTATAGAGGATTGTTCAATATTAACTTGACCATGTCCCTGTCATTTAAGCTACTTGAATACATTTGGAAAGGAAAAGGTTCTTTTAAAAATAGTAAGTTAATGAAACAACTGAATATATCAATGGATAGAAAAAAAACACCCACCATTTTTGCTAGCCACCTTCAGCTAACATTCATTTGTTAGCATTAGCTTGCATGCTAAGCTACTTGGGCCACATATATCTACTGCATTAGCTTAAGATGCTAGCTAGCTAACTAGCTAGTTTTATGTTAGCAATGGCTAGGTAGCTAGCTGAAAGATTAATCGTTTTAATTAACTTGTATAAACTAGTTATTTATTTTTAAATAAATGACTGGAGGTCTAAGATAAATATGAAGCTTACATGTATTTTTACAATGCAAAAATAACTATTATTTAGCTATTGGCAATGTTGTGGCTTCAAACATTACCAATAGCCTATGCGTTTTTATATTGCACCATCGGTCTAAAGCAACATAAAGATGCAAAACTAATTCCATCATAAATGTTTATAAGAAAATTATAGGAGGTGAGATAACGCTATCTTTACCACAAGATATTAAAAGCTGATTACATCAAACAGTATCAATGTCAGGGCGACATTAAGGGCTCTGTTGTTGCTGGGCAGGATTATATAACGTTACTCAACATTCTAGGATGGGACAAAACAGCAATAAAAAACACTCTAAAGTACACTTTTCCGAGCTGCTTTGAGTCACACTTGGTTTATGTGTGTGAAGCCCTTCCTTCCTTCTCCCTCATGTCCCCCTCATCCTCCTCCCCTTCCTCCCCCTTCACCTCCATATCTTCAGTTTGCGGGCTCACTTGTGTTGCAGTCTGCAGAGCACCCTCGGGGTGTGTGCAGCTGAGGAAACAGCAGAAAAGCTGTTTTAGTACATTTTATTTTTATTTTATTTTATCACCGGTTTGTGTTTCTGCCGAGCCATGACACAGAGGAGCAGAGACCGACTACGAAGCTAATGTAAGTCAACACCAATGATGCTTGTTTTTGTGTGTTTTTCTTGGATTTTCAGTCTCTGTCGATTCTCAGTCTGTATTTATTTTCCTAACTTTTTGCTGTTACAGTAATGCAGTGTAAAAAGAGTAACTTCTTATGTGAATTTATTTTGTGCACATTTTCAAAACTTTAAAAAAAAAAAACTGCTGCAAAAACATAAATACTTTGTAAAGTACAAAAAGTACTGTATTTAACAATGTCCTATAATTGGTTTAAGCCTTTTTTGTGGCCAGTAGGCCTACGAAGTAAATATGCGAGTGTTTTCCCATGTGATTTTAATATAGCCTACTGTACAGAATTGAGTTGATGATTTTTTTCTTTTCAAACACACCTTCTCACTGTCCTGTCTATTATCTCACATCAGCTGAACACCCAAGTACGAGGAACATTTTAACATAGAAGTCAGTTAGAATTTTTTACAATCTGCTGTTCAACATCTGGCTGCGTCCTTGATGTCCGTTTTAAGATGATGCATGGTCCCTGCATACCATAGATTACTGTACATGTTTGACAGCATTTTAGTGTACCGCTATGTTCCCAGTAGTGCTATAAATGCTAGTTGTAAAATAACTCTACTAATCTAAAACAGTTCTACGCCAGAGTGTTATGTAATGCCATGGGGGTGTCATGAGTTCAGATACTTGATGTACCTAATTATTGTATTACTGCTGCAGCTTCAGTTACAGCAATGCAGTGTAAAAAGAGTAACTTCTTATGTGAGTTTATTTTGTGCACATTTTCAAAACTTTTATTTAAAAAAACTGCTGCAAAAACATAAATACTTTGTAAAGTACAAAAAGTACTGTATTTAACAATGTATTGTGTACTTCAAAATACATTGTTAATGTCTTCAAAGAAAATGTGCATCTGGATGTCATTAATTGTAAAGTTAGATATAATAGCCATATATATTTGACAAACTTTAAATATCTAATGACCAGCTTTTTTGTTGTTGTCATGTGCAGATATATGAATGTTCCTGACCATTTCTGTGACAAACCGTAATGTATTTTATCCTATATAATGCAAACTGATGCAAACCATGTGTGAACCAAGTCTTCTCATTCCTCTGAGCAAATTGACTCTGCAACTGTAGGGAAATTCTCTCTTGGTGATGCACACACGCACACACACACACACACACACACACACACACACACACACACACACACACACACACACACACACACACACTGTACAGGTTGTTTGTCAAGATGACAAAGCAAAATCATTTCCACACAAACCTTTGGACGGCAGGTGAAAGCAGTTTCAACCGGACATAAATGAGGGCCGATATACGCCATGTTTGATCTTTTAAATAAGATTGCTGGTGGGAGGGCCAGAGCTTTTCAAATGTAAAGAGATAAGCCTCAGTGTGGGATTATCAGATGCAAAAAAACAGGATCTAATAGTTAGCACTTTAACCCCCTTGAAATTCAACTTCAGAATACCTTTTTACATAAACTGTAGCTGACCCTGACTTCTGTTCTGGTGTTTGGCCCCATTCTTATGGTTATACATTGTGGCACGAAAATGCACAAAACAACTCCATAAAGTGTTTTTTTTTTCGTAAAATATTTGTTTTATGTCTCACAAACATCACATATTGTGTTTTTTTTGTTTAAATGCCAGGAATTGCACCAAAAACAGTTCTAGATGTGTTGTCTTTGAAATACAGATGGAGCTTTTTCTGCTACTTTGTGAGATGTTATGTCTCCATCAACAGACCATCACGTGCAGTACATTTTCATCACTTTTATCTTGCAGCAAGAAGAATATGCTAAATGTGTCCACACTGAGAAAGATGAACTCAAGTGTAAATACAATGATATGTCAATAAGTGTTTTCAGGTTCATTCAAAAAAAGTTCTCTATTGAAGCTGGAAAAATGTACCCTTTTTCAGCACGCAATTTTTTTTAATTCATTGCTATTATACACCATTATGATACTCACCAAAACATATAATTTAAAAGACACGCCTGCCTCCTCTGTGTATGTGGCAATCTCTTTTCTCCCAATGATAAACGTTGCAAATGTGGCCGTGAATGTGGCAGTGTGAACTCGTCAGTACTGGACTTCTGAAGTTCCCTCATAGATCAGTGTTTTGAGCTGGAAACAAAATATGATCTTCTGCTCACAGAAAAATATCTCAAACATGAGGTGCTTCATCCAAAGATTGTAAGATATAAACACTTTCTGTTCAATGTTCAAGAGTGTGTACAATGTTACAATGTCATTTAGGAATTTAAAACAAGTATGTTGGCATACATCTTAATGATGACTTTTGTGTGTAGCTGCCATAGCCATTTGAAAGAAAATATATTAAAACATTGGAATTAAGATTTCTGCAAACGTGTTTTTGATATACAGATGCAATATTTAATAGCATCAAAGCTTTAAACTACCATCATCCAATGCAAAGGATGAAACATTTAAGAAACTATTCACGTTAAGTCTTAATTTAGAGTGGGTTTAGTAGCCGGTTGTAAGCTAGATCAGATCAGGTTGTACTTCACCTCAACAAAAACATGTGACATTTTTTTTTTACACAGCGAACACTAATATTTAAAGTAAATTAATTATAATTTAAATGGATTTAAACTCTGTTATGAAGCTGATATTCATGGTTTCTGCCTGTTATGCTCTTTGTGTTTCCTCAGGGACAGAGGAAGAAGAGGAGGAGCAAACAGAAACATCGGAAGAGCTTTAAGAAAGTGACTGCGGTTTGACAGAGAAAGCCCAGCCAATGGAAACACGCTGCACATTTAGTGCCAGAAGGACAAAAGAGGACTTGTGACCTCCAGCTTCCCTTGTAACAGAGGGAGCAGACACTGATCTGAGCCGGCCTTCTCATTGGCTGAAGCGATGGCACTCACCAAGGAGAAGAAGCTCGAGGGAGGCAGGAGGGTGTCGGGGGTCACGACCCCACCGGAGGGCGGCTGGGGCTGGATGATCGTCGCTGGCTGTTTCCTCGCCACCATCTGCATTCGGGCTGTAACCAGGTGTGTGTGTGTGTGTGAGGGGTGAGGACCAGCCTGTCATATTGGTAAACTCATCAAGCATCAAGTTATGAAATCCGAGCTGGGCTATAAATATCTGAAACAAAAATCTCACTGAAGTAGTAAGCATAATTGGGTGTTTTTTTAAGGAACACCACCACAAGTTTTTGAAAAAAATGTATTTGCATGACTTGCATTTTCGATAGAAACTTACTAATTAAAACATTCCTGCACGAGCCAAAAAGCTTGTGTTTGGGGAGTTGAACTGAATCAATGAGACTTGAAATATTATGTTGAACTGCCTTAAAACTTTAAATATTCTACAAATGTAATGTAACACAGGATGATTAATCAATATACAAATAATCACTTTGGGGGTTTGTTCATGATGATGCTTTATTTTATGGATCTGGACGATTTAAGAGATCTTTTGAGAAAGATTTGTAGCTTCTGGATGAGCAGTGTTGTGTGGCACACTGGTTCTTCCATATAGGCTTTGGGTTATTAGCTTTGGTCATCACCTCCTCTGTTATTACTTGGCAACACTTCATTACCACTCGGCTCATATTGTGTAAGCCACTTACACGCTTCAGCAGCAATATTTTTTTTTTCCCACTAATCCTGCTGAGATGTTTCCATCTTAATTTGGCACAGCAAGCACC